CGTAAGCCACTCACAAGGTCTTACCACTAATTATTTTATACTGAAACTTACGTTTGGCAAACTGGATTCAAATTAAGATTACCGGTATATTAAAATAATAAAAATGTATTATAAACCTGTCTAACATACCGTAAAAGAGATTTATACCCCTGTAATAAACACAGCTATCATCACACACCCCTCCCCACGCCCCCCCCCATTTGCCAGTGAGGAGACAAGAAAGGAAAAGTGCATTAATTCTTGAAACTATCGACGGTTAATTACAGACGCTCAAGTGATGTCACTAGTGTTTACACTACTCCAGCTGGTAATATTTGATGCCATTACTTGAAGTGAATTGGCCTTATTTTAAGTAACTAACTATAAATAAATACAAAAATTAAAAAAAAAGATCAAAACTGAGAAATAATATACTGTATGTATGTTGTGTTGTCAAAGTAAGAGGAACAATTGTGTAAGTACGTAATATTTGTTCACTCAAATCCTAATGAAACACTACTGGAGAACATTCCTTTGTCGCAAAACAGTTTATAAATTAAAGAAAATAATTACAGTGTGTTTAATATATTACAGTATATTATAAATAAATAAATAAAACAAATAATTCGGTAAATCTATTTAAAGTAAATGGAAAATAAGCAAACATGTTATTTACCAAGACCCTTCGTCTGGCTCAGGGTGAGATGTAGGGGAGATAAAGAAGGCTATTTATAGCCCATCAGAAGTGACCAGTACCCTAATGCACCATAAATAATTCATTGAACATTCATTTTTTGTACATAGTATATATATATATATATATATATATATATATATATATATATATATATATATATATATATATATATATATAATATATATATATATATATATATATATATATATATATATATATATATATATATATATATATATATATATATATATATATTTGTGTAATAAATGTATGTAGTAAGTACATACTGGTAACCTTTTTCACTCAAATCCTAATGAAACATCACAATTAGAATACGGTGGTTGCTGTTAACCACATGTTGTATAAATAGTCACACCACCCAGACGAGGGAACACTCCCACCACGCTTCAGTGACGTCACTAGTGTTTACACTACACCAGCGAGTATAATTTGATGACATTACTTGAAGTGAATTGGCCTTATTTTAAAAAATCAAGGATGGTTGGTAAAGGACTACTGAGTCAGTGGGTAAGTGTCACATTTGGGGTACTGGTCTTATACAGCAAATAGAGCTCAAAAGCTACTTTTTAAATGGAAATTTGGGGGGGCGTCTTATGCACCCCGCCGCCTTATATAAACGTGATATCTCTGATATTTGGGTGGAAAAAGCGCATAAGGGGAACCCTTCGCGTTTTTCAGGAGTCGAACAAGCGATATACGCGATTTTGTTCAAAATCGCAGTATAGGTACTCCTGAGCATGCCGAATCCGGTCCTATCATCGACAGTTCGATTGCGGAATATTTAGTGGTCGTAATGATGCTTGGAATATTTTAATGAAATTTTTCACAATGCTTGTTTCAGTACTCGCTAATTATTGGTTTCTCAGGTATTTAGTTGGTGTTGTTATGTTCTTCTGGATGTACTTAATTACTGAAATTAATCCACCAAATTTCATATCTGAGAGAAAATCTTGGGTGGAAAAACGCATAAGGGGGGACCCTTACGCGTTTTTTCCAGGGTCGAGACAAAACGCGATATATGCGATTTTGTTCAAAATCACAGTGTAGGTACTCCTGAGCATGCCGAGTCCGGTGCTATCATCGACAGTGCGATTGCTGAATAATTAGTGGTCATAATGATGCTTGGAATATTTTAATGAAAATTTTCACGATGATTATTTCAGTACTCGCTAATTATTGGTTTCTCAGGTATTTGGTTGGTGCTGTTATGTTCTAATGGATGTACTTAATTACTGAAATTAATCACACCAAATTTCATGTCTGAGAGAAAATCATATTTGGGTGGAAAAACGCATAAGGGGGGACCCTTATGCGTTTTTTCCAGGGTCGAGACAAAACGCGATATATGCGATTTTGCTCAAAATCACACTATAGGTACTCCCGAGTATGCCGAGTCCGGTCCTATATTGATCGATGATTCGATTGCAGAGAATAAATAGTGTAAACAATGATGCTTGGACTATATTAATAGAATTTTTCACAATGCTTATTTCAGTACCACATTAATTATTGGTTTCTCAGGTATTTGGTTGGTGTTGTTATGTTCTTCTGGATGTACTTAATTACTGAAATTAATCCCACCAAATTTCATGTCTGAGAGAAAATCATATTTGGGTGCAAAAACGCATAAGGGTCCCCCCTTACGCGTTTTTTCCAGGGTCGAGAGAAAACGCGATATATGCGATTTTGTTCAAAATCACAGTATAGGTACTCCTGAGCATGCCGAGTCCGGTGCTATCATGGACAGTTCGATTGCGGAATAATTAGTGGTCGTAATGATGCTTGGAATATTTTAATGAAATTTTTTTCGATGCTTACTCGCTAATTATTGGTTTCTCAGGTATTTGGTTGGTGTTGTTATGTTCTTCTGGATGTACTTAATTACTTAAATTAATCCCACCAAATTTCATGTCTGAGAGAAAATCATATTTGGGTGGAAAAACGCATAAGGGGGGACCCTTACGCGTTTTTTCCAGGGTCGAGAGAAAACGCGATATATGCGATTTTGTTCAAAATCACAGTGTAGGTACTCCTGAGCATGCCGAGTCCGGTGCTATCATGGACAGTTCGATTGCTGAATAATTAGTGGTCATAATGATGCTTGGAATATTTTAATGAAATTTTTCACGATGATTATTTCAGTACTCGCTAATTAATCCCACCAAATTTCATGTCTGAGAGAAAATCATATTTGGGTGGAAAAACGCATAAGGGTCCCCTCTTACGCGTTTTTTCCAGGGTCGAGAGAAGACGCGCTATATGCGATTTTGTTCAAAATCACAGTATAGGTACTCTTGAGTATGCCGAGTCCGGTCCTATCATCGACAGGTCGATTGCAGAATAAATAGTGTCGTAATGATGCTTGGACTATTTTAATGAAATTTTTCTCGATGCTTATTTCAGTACTCGCTAATTATTGGTTTCTCAAGTATTTGGTTGGTGCTGTTATGTTCTAATGGATGTACTTAATTACTGAAATTAATCCCACCAAATTTCAAGTATGAGAGGAAATCATATTTGGGTGGAAAAACGCATAAGGGGGGACCCTTACGCGTTTTTTCCAGGGTTGAGACAAAACGCGATATATGCGATTTTGCTCAAAATCACACTATAGGTACTCCTGAGTATGCCGAGTCCGGTCCTATCATCGACAGTTCGATTGCAAAATAAATAGTGTCGTAATGATGCTTCGACTATTTTAATGAAATTTTTCACAATGCTTATTTCAGTACTCTCCAACTATTGGTTTCTCAGGTATTTGGTTGGTGCTGTTATGTTATAATGGATGTACTTAATTACTGAAATTAATCCCACCAAATTTCATGTCTGAGTGATAATCATATTTGGGTGGAAAAACGCATAAGGGGGGACCCTTACGCGTTTTTTCCAGGGTCGAGACAAAACGCGATATATGCGATTTTGCTCAAAATCACAGTGTAGGTACTCCTGAGTATGCCGAGTCCGGTCCTACAATCGACAGTTCGATTGCAGAATAAATAGTGTCGTAATGATGCTTGGAATATTTTAATGAAATTTTTCACTATGCTTATTTCAGTACCCGCTAATTATTGGTTTCTAAGGTATTTGGTTGGTGTTGTTATGTTCTAATGGATGTACTTAATTACTGAAATTAATCCCACCAAATTTCATGTCTGAGTGATAATCATATTTGGGTGGAATAACGCATAAGGGGGGACCCTTACGCGTTTTTTCCAGGGTCGAGAGAAAACGCGATATATGCGATTTTGTTCAAAATCACAGTGTAGGTACTCCTGAGCATGCCGAGTCCGGTCCTATCATCGACAGTTCGATTGCTGAATAATTAGTGGTCGTAATGATGCTTGGACTATTTTAATGAAATTTTTCACGATGATTATTTCAGTGCTCGCTAATTATTGGTTTCTCAGGTATTTGGTTGGTGTTGTTATGTTCTTCTGGATGTACTTAATTACTGAAATTAATCCCACCAAATTTCCTGTCTGAGAGAAAATCATATTTGGGTGGAAAAACGCATAAGGGTCCCCCCTTACGTGTTTTTTCCAGGATCGAGAGAAAACGCGATATATGCGATTTTGTTCAAAATCACAGTATAGGTACTCCTGACCATGCCGAGTCCGGTGCTATCATCGACAGTTCGATTGCTGAATAATTAGTGGTCGTAATGATGCTTGGAATATTTTAATGAAATTTTTCACAATGCTTATTTCAGTACTCTCCAACTATTGGTTTCTCAGGTATTTGGTTGGTGCTGTTATGTTCTAATGGATGTACTTAATTACTGAAATTAATCCCACCAAATTTCATGTCTGAATGATAATCATATTTGGGTGGAAAAACACATAAGGGGGGACCCTTACGCGTTTTTTCCAGGGTCGAGACAAAACGCGATATATGCGATTTTGTTCAAAATCACAGTATAGGTAAATGAGGCACCCAGTTACTGTGTGTTGCCACGAGGAGGCACAGCAGAAGTCTTGATGTTGAAGAGGCTGCGTACTTGCAGGGGAGGACATATGCAAGTTGTTTTCCCTGTTCGCCACGAGGGCTAGTCAGCGGCGGTAGCTGAGAGTGAGAGGAAGCAAGCAGTGCTTACAACTTAACACTGACATAATGCTGCCACACTAAATGCATTACACGCACACATGCATGCACGCACACCAGGGGCGGGTTTACATGGAGATTAATGAGGCTGAAGACTCAGGTTGCAAGCTTGAGGGGGCCCCCCAATCAGCTGGAATACTTACAGTGCTGTGGGACACTATTCTTCAAAGGTTCAATAAAACCCACCAGTTGGATTGTTGAGCTCAATTGCTGGATTTTGTTCAGTAATTATGTTCAGAATATGATGCATATGAAGAACAAGGAAAAGAATTGAGTGAAGCTGACACATACAAGAGAGACACGGGCAGAAAATGGTGACAGATGAGACAGTTTGGAGTACCGTATGTGCATTGGTACCTTAAAAGTCATAATAGATGCGCATCTTATCCTTTTGTTTGGAATGCTGATAAATTATGGCCAAAACAGAGATTCAACTGGCTCACTAAGTTATGTTACAAATATTACTAACAGTGGCATTGAAACAATATTTAAATTATATGTTTAAATGTACAGTACTGTATTTCTTATTAGACATCATTCAAGGAAAGAATTTAACACCTGAACCGTTGACAATCTTGACCCCTGGGGCCAGAGATCGCCAGACTCACTCACCAGGCAGATCCTCCAGGGTCCTGGGCACGGTAACTATGATGCCCTGAGAAACATTGGTAACCTGGACTTTCTCGCCCTCCAGGTACAAGTCAAGGCTCACCACCCGCGTGTTCTTCGACAATTGATTAGATGAATCCGAGTAAGACTGGCGAGAAAAAAAAATTTGTTTGTAATCTATGAAACAGTACAGAGGTCAAATGAAATTCTCCTACACATTATCTAAACCAATTGCCTTAAATTTGCTGTTTGATTCATTCTACTAGTTACATTTTGTGTTATCCAATGAATTATTACATGAGATGGTTATTATTGTTGAGTTTTATAGGGAACATGCTTCTTTCAGCTGCTATGGGATGATTATTATCTGTTGAAGGGGGGTAGGTGTAGTGTATGTTAGGTTAGGTGTTGCCTCAGCCACTACTAGACGGTGGTGAGGAAGCTGTTATAGTGAAACCTCCATATAACAAACTTCTCTCTGTATAATCTGTTAGATGGGGGTTTTCGCATCAAACGGATCCTCAATATAACGGACTTTCATCTCTATAGAGTAGTTCACTAAATGGAGGTTTCAAATGTAACAAACCCTCGATATAATGGACTTTCATTTTTATATAATAGTTCATTGAATAGAGGTTTCACATTTAATAGACCCTCGATATAACGATATAATGGACTTTCATCTCGATAAATAAGTTCGCTGAAGGGAGGTTTCATATCTAACACACCCTCAATATAATGGACTTTCCATTCCATATACAGTAGTCCGTTAAATAGAGGTTTCACTGGTACTCACGTGTGTCATTCCAGGCCACTGTATGGCGGTTAGGGAGAAGGTATGGTTACAGCCGACGTGACCCGTGAAACTGGAGGGGCAAAACCCTGAAGGCAACTGGAAGCCTCCGACACCCTTGGTCACCCCCACCTTCAATCCATTCTTCGCTGCCATCTCAGACATCCTACAGAACAGCACAGTTATCCAGGAAGGATTTCAGAGATTCATAGTAATCCCTCAACCAGGAACAATTATTAAATAGACCAGTTATCCCTCAAGCAGGAACAAGTACAAACAAGACCAAATATAAAATAGACCTGTAATCCTTCAAACAAGACCAAGTATGAAATAAGACCAGTAATTCCTCAAGCAAGAACTAGTATGGAACAGAGCAGTGATGGAAATTTCAAAAAGGATTATAATTTTTTTTACCCTGAATACAGACAAGCAAATGCTTTTAACTGTTCACATAGGGGATTCAATCTCGCATCAACACGACTATAAAAAAATACTGTATTTGCCTCCTGTCTTTACTGATTAGAAAGTAAATAAATATAAAAATCATGAGAATCTATATTCAGGTGGGTGTAATTATATGAGAATCTATAATCAGTTGTAATCTATGAGAATCTATAGTTATAATACATTTAAGGAGAAAAATGAATGTAAAAATCGTATGAGTACCTATAATTAGGTGTAATCAAACGAAGATCTATAATCATAATACATTCAGGGAGACAAATGAACATAGAAATCATACGAGTATCTAAAATCAAGCTTAATCATACGAGGATCTACAGCTATAATACATAAAAAAAAAGTGTATTCCCCCCACTCACTTAGCGACCATCATAGCTGCTCCTGTGGGTGCCTGAGCCAACACCACCTCCCCCTCAACACTCTTCGTCTCCATGATCTCACCGATCATCTTCACCACCTCCATCATCCTCGACACCTGTCATATGGATAATGAGGGTAAATGATGAAAGGCAAACAACATGATTGGATTGAATATCACAATGAGAGAGAGAGAGAGAGAGAGAGAGAGAGAGAGAGAGAGAGAGAGAGAGAGAGACCCCCACCTGGTCCTTGGCCCTGTTCTTGGTAGTCTCGATAACGTTTTGCACCAACATTGCCTCACGACTCAACAGTATCTCCATGTTCACTGTAAACACCAAGACAACTTATCTTAAGATAAAGAGGCTCCTATCTCATATATCTCACTCCCACTCTTTCCTTCATTCTCACTCTCACACCTTCTTCCCTCCCTCTCACTCTTCCTTCCTTTACTATCACTCCTTCCATCACTCTCACTCCTTCCCTCATTCACACACCTTCTCTTACTCTCCTGCCTCTCACCATCATCTCCTATGTCCATTTGGTAGTCCCAGTCAGCAGTAGCCTCTTTGTCTGAAGGTGGAACGCTGGTGATGGCCTTCCCTGACAGGATCTCATTCACGCCCTGCCGAGAGAGAGGTGATGGGGGATGGCAGAGGGAAAGGAGATAAGGAAGGGGAATGATGAGAAAGAATAGGGAGGAGTGCAAAGGGTGCATAAGGAAGATGAATGAGAGAGGAGAAAAAGAGGGAGAATGGGAGTGAGGAAAGTGGAAAGGGAAAAGACAGAGAGATGGGAGAAAAAGATGGAAGAAGGAAGTGGAAAGACGACAGGGGAGGAAGGGAAGGAAAAGGGGCAGGGGGAAGGAGGACTAGAGGAGGAAGGGGTACAGGGTGAAAAAGGGGCAAGGGGAAGGAGGAGGGGGAAAAAGGGAAGGAGGAGGACGGTGGATGAAGGACGAGGAGGATGACCAAAAAAGGTAAGGAAGGAGGTGTATGAGAATAATAGGTTCAGTGTTTTTGTTTACAGTTAGCATGGCAGAACCCCTGATGCTGCCAAGATGTTTGATGCCTAGGAAATAGATATTAGTACTTACAGACATGATGAAGGAGGTACTTACGGGCACGATGGAGCCCCCAGGAGGTACGTACGGGCACGATGGAGCCCCCAGGAGGTACGTACGGGCACGATGGAGCCCCCAGGAGATACTTACGGGCACGATAGAGCACCCAGGAGATACGTACGGACACGATGAAGCCCCCAGGAGGTGCTTACAGACATGGGGGAGCCCCCCAGGAGGTGCTTACGGACACGTTGGAGCCCCCAGGAGGGTCAAGATGACATGACAGCCCCAGTGAGGTGCTACAGACATGGGGGAGCTCTAGGAGGCAGCCTTTGATGGACACTTTTGGAGCCCCCAGGAGATATATAAGATGACATGATGAAGCCCCAGGAGGTGCTTATGACGAAGGATGCCCCCAGGAGGAAGCTTATTGGCACGATGGAGCCCCAGGAGGTGCGATGGAAATTATGGAAGTTCCCAGGAGGTGCTTACAGACATGAGGGAGCCCTGGTGGAGGTACTTATGGACATGAGGAGCCCCCAGGAGGTGCTTACGATACAGGAGTTCCCCCAGGAGGTACTACGACATGAGGGAGCCCCCAGGAGGCATACTTTACGGACATGAGGGAGCCCCCAGGAGATACTTACGGACATGAGGGAGCCCCCAGGAGGTACTTACGGACATGAGGGAGCCCATAGCACACCAGGCGGAGGAGAGGAAGGGCACTAGCTCGATGCGACCTCAATATTATCCATCCTTTTGGTCATCGTCTGAGGACAGTTATGTTGATGTTAGGTTTATGTACACACACACACGTCACTACTCACCTCCAGTAGGGTGAGGGCGGCTACTCTAGCCTCCATGTCGACGGTCTTGGCCGCTTCCGCTGTCTTAGTTATACCTGAAGGAGGCACAGCAGAAGGCCTGGGTTAGAAGGGGGCTTGTATGTGGACTTCAAGGGTTGAGGGAAAGTTTGTAGGTGTGTGTGTGTGTGTGTGTGTGGGTGTATGTAATAATAATAATAATAATAATAATAATAATAATAATAATAATAATAATTAACGGTTTATTGAAAGAGCTTGGCAGCCAAAGGGCTGAAAATATACAGTTACATATTTGGGGAATGGGTTACGAATTACAAATAATATACAAGTAACATAAGTGACACAAATAAGACATATAATAACTAGATGTGGAAAAGCTCAAACTACAGTTCATTTCAACATAGTGACAGTGCAAGGAGTAGTGTTTACTGGGAGTGAATACACTGATTTATTACAAGTTATTGATAATTTTACAATGGTTGGGACTGGGCTGTTCTTATAGCGATCAGTTCGTGCACGTATGGGCTGGATGCGGTTGTGGTGTCGAACAGCAATTCTCGGACTAGGGATCTCAGGTGGTAGTAGGAGCCTGTGTCGGGATGGTAGAAGCCACCAAATTTGCAGATGAGGTCGTGGTGATGGTCAGTGAGAGTCGAAAGGGTCAGTGTGTTGAGCGCTTTGATATGTGGAGTAGGAAGGGGAGAGAATAATCTGCATGCCCTTTGCACTTTCTAGGTGTTTACGTGTGTGGCATTTAGAGGAAAACCAGGTGGGGGAGGAAGCTTAAAGGTGAATGTTGTGTAAACACTGAGGAGCCGTGTGAAACTCAGGACTTGAGTCGGCTGATGAGGTGGAGACGGAAACTGAGGATTGATAACTTCCACTGACGTGTGGTTTCCAATTTAGTTTGTTGTCTATGGTGACGCCGAGGAGCTCGTGGAATCCACAACCTGGAGTGTTCGGACCTAGAGTAATGGAAGGAGGTGGGACAATGAGGAGAGGTTGATGTGCGTGTGTGGGTGTGTGTGTGGGTGTATGTGGGTGGTGTGTGTGTGTGTGTGTGTGGGTGTGTGTGCGGGGTGTATGTGTGGGGTGGGTACAGTATGGGGTGAATGTGTATGCAGGGAGACTGTGGGGGCTGTGTGTGTGAGGGGGCTGTGTGTGAGGGGCTGTATGTGTGTGGTGGGGGGGGCTGTATGTGTGTGTGTGTGGAGGGGAGGCCAGTGTGCTGGAGACTGTGGGGTGGGGCTGTGTGTGTGTGTGTGTGGAGGGGGGCTGTGTGTGTGTGTGTGGAGGGGGCTGTGCTGGAGACTGTGTGTGGGGGCTGTGTGTGTGTGTGAGTGAGGTATGTGTGTGTGTGTGGAGGCTGTAATGGAGACTGTGTGGGCCATGTGTGTGTGTGGAGGGGGCTGTGTGTGCTGAGACTGTGTGTGGGGGCTGGTGGTGTGGTGTGTGTGTGGGGGGCTGTGGGAGACTGTGTGTGGGGCTGTATGTGTGTGTGTGTGGAGGGGGTGTGTGTGCTGGGAGACTGTGTGGGGCTGTGTGTGTGTGAGGGGGCTGTATGTGTGTGTGTGTGTGGGGGCCGGGGAGACTGTGTGTGGGGGCGGGCTCATGTGTGTGTGTGTGTGGGGGGCTGTGTGCTGGAGACTGTGTGTGGGGCTGTGTGTGTGTGTGAAGGGGGGCTGTATGTGTGTGTGTGGAGGCCATGGGAGACTGTGTGTGGGGGGGCTGTATGTGTGTGTGAGGGGGCTGGGAGACTGTGTGTGAGGGGCTGTGTGTGTGTGGAGGGGGGCTGTTGCTGGAGACTGTGTGTGGGGCTGTATGTGTGTGTGGGGGGCAGGTGTGTGTGTGAGGGGGGCAGGGAGACTGTGTGTGCTGGAGACTGTGTGTGGGGCTCTATGTGTGTGTGTGTGTGGAGGGGGGGCTGTGCTGGGAGACTGTGTGTGGGGGCTGTAAGTGTGTGTGTGTGAGGGGGGCTGTGTGTGCTGGAGACTGTGTGGGGGCTGTATGTGTGTGTGTGTGGAGGGGGGGGGCTGTGCTGGAGACTGTGTGGGGGGGGCTGTGTGTGTGTGTTGAGGGGGGGCTGTGTGCTGGGACTGTGTGGGGTCTAAGTGTGTGTGTGTGAGGGGGGGCCGTGTGTGCTGGAGACTGGTGGGAGGAGGGGCTGTAAAAGGAGACTGTGGGGCTGTATGTGTGTGTGTGTGAGGGGGGGCTGGTGCTGGAGACTGTGTGTGTGTGGCGGGTCAGGCGGTGTGTGGAGGGCTGTGCTGGGAGACTGTGTGGGGGCTGTATGTGTGTGTGGGGCGGGCAGGTGTGTGTGTGGAGGGGGGCTGTAAAGGAGACTGTGTGTGGGGGCTGTATGTGTGTGTGGAGGCTGTGCTGGGAGACTGTGTGTGGGGGCATGTGTGTGTGTGTGGAGGGGGCCAGGGAGGCTGTGTGTGGGGGGCTGTATGTGTGTGTGTGTGTGGAGGGGGGGCAAAGGGAGACCGTGTGGGGGCTGTATGTGTGTGTGTGTGTGGAGGGGGTGGAGGGGGGCTGGAGACTGTGTGTGTGGGGCGGGCTGTATGTGTGTGTGTGTGAGGGGGCTGTGTGCTGGAGACTGTGTGGGGGGCTGTGTGTGTGTGGAGGGGCCAAAGGGAGACTGTGTGTGGGGGCTGTGTGTGGAGGGGGGGGCGTGTGCTGGAGACTGTGTGTGGGGGGCCAGGTGTGTGTGTGGAGGGGGCTGTGCAGGAGACTGTGTGTGGGGGGCGTGTGTGTGTGTGTGGGAGGGGGCTGTGTGTGCAGGAGACGTGTGGGGGGGCTGTGTGGGGGGGGGCTGTATGCGTGTGTGAAGGGGGCCATGTGTGTGTGTGTGTAGGGGGCTGTATGTGTGTGGAGGGGGGTGTATGTGTGTGTGGAGGGGGGTGTGTGTGTGTGAAGGGGCTGGTGGCGTGTGTAGGGGGGTGGCGTGTGTGTGGAAGGGGGGGCTGTATGCGTGTGTGTGGAGGGGGGGGGGTGTTGTATACAGTATATATCACAGGTCCGTCCACACCCACCTTCAGTAGCCGCCCTCAGTACGCCAGCACCGACGTTCAGTTCACTTAGTGTGGCGAAACTCACCGTTTCTTTAGCTGTCTTGAGTGCCTCAGTGTTCATCTGCAGGAAGGGGTGTAATGGGAGTAAGTGAAGCCATAGATATCCTCATGAAACTTAAATTAACACTTTATTTTACTTTATTACTTCAGAATACCTCGCGAGGAACTGACTTTACGGATTAACACACGTGGACAGTCTTTCACTCTGATGGAACGTTACAGAAATCAATCTGAGAGTTTAATTTTTCTTTGTGAATATTTTTGGGGGGTTTATTGACTTCTGCCATAGTCACTGCCAGGATATTCTTCCGACCCCTTCCCAGCCCCATCACTTAATATATAGTACTGTATATTATACTCACTTACCATGTACATAATAGTACATACACACATTTCCCATGTACACACTAATACATACACAGACACTTACCATGTACACAATAGTAGATACACACACTTACCATGTACACACTACTGTAGTAAATACACACACTTACCATGTTCACAGTAGTATATACACCACAGGATCACATGCTCGTGGCTCACCTTGGCTATATCCATGAGCCTTAGGTCGACCTCCTTGCCAGTGAGGCTGGTGAGGGAGGCGGCGTCGAGGGAGAGCCAAGGCGCGTTCTCCCTGATGGAAGCCCTCGCCATCAGCAACATTCCAATCTTGAACTGGTTACCGATGGCTGTCAGGTATTCGATTTTGTCCACTACCCCAAATTCCTCCACCTCTTCCTCTGTCGGCATGACCACCTGCCACCAGAAAGAGGGTTACAGAGAATGCAGTTAGTGGCTTGTGTACCATAGTAATGATAACTTAAACTATCGTCCTTAAAGGGTTACAACTTAAACTACTGTCCTCAAAGGGTTATTATAACTTCAACCATCATCATTAAAGGGTTAAAAGGAACCATTTGATGAAGAGCGGTGGTGCAGTTCAGTGTTATTGGTTGTTGTTTTTATAGAATTCATCTCTTGAATAGTTGCTGCCTTATGCAATTCCTTACCTCGATAGTGCCAATGGCTGTCTCTACGTAGGTGCCAAACCTATCCCAGACCTCAGCGTGGATGGTGAAGTTCCCGAGAGACATGATAATCTCTGCTTCAGGTCTGGTGATCGAGACAATGGTTCTCTTCAAGGGTTCACCATCTGTCGCCTCGTACACTGACCGATACAAACCATAATATGGATCAAAATAAACACTAATTAGAAAGAAAAAACCTTACATAAACATGGGGGGAGAGGAGGTTTTGAGGTTTGAAAGGTGTTAGATTTATTCTGCCTGTTGTGTGTGTAATATCAGTTATTCTCACAAGATCTGGTGTGTGTGTGTGTGTGTGAGAGTTTGACTGACTTGTCCTCTCAATACTAACTGTTCACTATAACACTAGTACTACATGTTCACTATAACACTAGTACTACATGTTCACTATAACACTAGTACTATATGTTCACTATAAGACTAGTACTACATGTTCACTATAAGACTAGTACTACATGTTCACTATAAGACTAGTACTACATGTTCACTATAACACTAGTATAACATGTTCACTATAACACTAGTACTACATGTTCACTATAACACTAGCACTACATGTTCACTATAACACTAGGACATGTTCACTATAACACTAGTACTACATGTTCACTATAACACTAGTACTACATGTTCATTATAACAGTAGTACTACATGCTCACAATAAGACTAGTACAGTAGGGTGTGGCATAGGAGGGAAGATCAGCTAAAACTAATGGCCCATCACTTTTTTGGTAGATTTTAGTGTATATAAACAGAAAATAATTTCAGTTTCAATATTTTGCAACCTTTTGCTAGGTAAATTTTAGCGTGAAATTTATCGAAAATCTAACGTACAGCTGCATTAGTGCATTACAATTAAATAGTGAACATTGCTTTCTGACTTCATTCTTTAACAACCCAACTAACAATATTTTTTCTGTTTCAGATTCTGATGCATTTATAAGTTGATAATATTTGCGATGGCTGCTTGTGTCAGGACGAGGAACCAAAAATCCAGCCATCTCAGTCACTATCTTGGGTCTGGGAGAGAGCTCCTGAAGTCGGAGTTGCCTACATTGAGAGATGCTTTGAGATACGGTGTTTTAATCAGGCAAATCAGTGAAAAGAACCAAAGAACTTACACAAACAAAGACATTGCCAGATATGATTCAAAGCTGTCTTTGGCATTAGTACACCTTGGGTTAACGCTTCAGTTCAAGCTTCCAGTCATAACAATACCGGGGTCAGAAGAAGATTAGTGAGAGACTGCTAGCCAGTTGGGAAAAGGCAAGAGATATCTCTCTTGGGAGAGGAAAACTTGCAGTTAAGGACAGCTTTGCCAAGCAACTGGACCAGTTATTTGACATAATTACTTGTAAGTGCCCAATTGTTCTCTGTCCTGAGTTTGGATGTGATCGTGACTGTAAATCCGAGGCCCACATCTCCTGTATTTGCAAGCGTGAACTGAAGATTCCTGTGATCGAACTGGCATTTGTCAAAGCACAGAGAGAGAAGACTGGCAGTATAGGGGCTCTCATGATTTCTAGCTAAGATATTCCGGAGTCCAAGAGACAGGAGGCTGCCACAGAGAGACAGAAGAGGAAAAGAGTTGCCGAGGAAAAGAGACTTGAGAAGGCCCAGGGTGAGGTAAAAAAGGCCGATGATTGGAGTCAAGCTGATTCAGAGTTTAATGACTTCCCCATGGCTGATCCGAGTGCTGACCAGGAGAATGGTGACTTTGTCCCTAACCCAGAAAATAATGATCCCAAACCTTCCAGGCATAAGATTCGAAATAGGAAAGATATCCTGAGCATAGCTCTGGCCAGCATGCGACACCACACTGGTCTCAGAGAAACTGCAGAGATAGCAACAGCTGCCTGGATTGACGGTGGTTTGATAACACCTGATGATGTTCACCTGGTGATAGATCATAACAAAGTAAGGAGAGCTCAGGAGAAACTTGTCAGTAACCTAGAAGAGGAGTTTGATAAGGGAATAAGAGAAAATGGAATCAATTGTTTGTTCTTTGATGGGAGAAGGGATG